TCGATGTTTTATTTTCGAAACTTTAAAAACTGTAAAAGATTTCTGAATAAACCCCTTTCACTTAATACACTAAAGCGGTCAGTTCAAGTTTTTTGGGAAGGTCCCAAACTAAAAAATTACATTTAATTTTTTTTCATTTGCAGACGCTCTTATCCGAGCGACCCCACAGTTTTGTGATGATACATTTTTTTTATACTGCTCTTTCCCCATTTTTTAAAACCCATATTTTTTACCAGCTTTTGGATGCTGGCTTTAAAATTGGCTTAAAAGGGATAGGGAGACTAAATTATTTATTTGCTGATAAGATTTATTGTAATTTGAGCAGATAGTTGAGAGATATCGGCTCCCAATGCAGGACTTTTTCCGCTTTCTACAAGTTGGACATATATTTTGAAGAGCACCACCTTGATTGGTAACCCTGATGTGTCTGTCATTGAAATAATGTTTTTTTTCTCACAAAGGAAAATATCTGTAAGTTTATTTTATGATGCTTTAAGGTCCTTTCTACTTTTGAAACAGGGGGTCAAGCGAGAGCAATCCAATTAAGAATAATACTCATATTGCATAGATCCCTGAATCGCAGACATGCTTTAAAACCCCCTCCTCCTCTCCTCAGTGTCTTAAATGTTAAAACTGATACAGGCACCCTACCACATTGTTTATGGTCATTTTCCAAATTACAAAGGTACTGGTCTAATGTTCTTCAAGAAATTGTAAAAATCCTAGGGTCGACTTAGAATTGGACCAGTTTCTTTCCTGTTAGGTCTCCCTAGTAGGCATGTTACTTCTGTGGGTAAGAGGAGGCTTTACAACATCCTTACCTTCGCAGCGAGGAAAAACATCCTCTTACAGTGGATTAGTGACAAGGTCCTTCTATTAAAGATTGGCGTAAGATAATATTTGAATCAGTTCCATTGGAATATTTGACTTGTACATTACATTCTAAAACAGATCAGTTCTACAAGTGTGGGGGAAATGACCTAGATCCTGATTTATCAGCTATTATGCTGCAAGGATTTACTTAGAATGGTGGTTGTTTACTTGTCTAAGGATTACACGTACATTCCATGTATTGGACCTAATTCCTTTATTTAAACTGGAGCTTTTGTGTTTAATTTCTTTCTGTTTGTTTGTTTAATTTTAATTTTAATTTTCTTTGTTATTTTAACTTGTGTTACTGTATCTCTTAATGTGGGAGAAAATTGTGAAATTCCAATACAAATACTATTCAATAATTACAGTAAAATTAACATACACAATGTAAACGTGTATGTCAAAGTGTGTCAAATATGTAAGTTGAAAAGCATGTTAAAAGCCACTGTGTGTGTGAGTATCCCCGTGCTTAATTTGTAAATCTAAAAAAAAAGTGAACGCGAGAGGGGGGTGACCTGGGGAGTTCTGAGGGTACCGGAACGCATGAGAAAAAAATATCACCTTTATAATAAAGCATGCATGCATATCATCGCATTTGAGTAGTGGCATAGAGCAGTAGAGTAGAGACACTTACAGAAGTTGCACACATGGGGAACATTTTTAGTAGCCGAGGGTCCGGGAAAATGTTTGCCTTTTATAAACGCATTTTCATGCAATTCTACATCATTTTACATGACTGGAGACTTTGGCAGAATCTTTTTAATACCGCACAAATTATCGAAATGGCAGGTTACTTTGACGCTGACAAACTGAGAATCTGAGATCAATAAAAACGACCTTGTCTTGAATCCATCAATAGCCTAGTCCTAGGTGTGTGGAGACACATATTGTAGGCTGCAATATAAGGAAATTATAGTCCTAAAAATGCTTTCCAGTTTCACTGGATGTGCAGCTCACTCGCTGGTGATGGCCGATGCGTTCGTTGGAAGTTGATCAAATATTTTGGGAGCCTACAGCATAGAGTCTTCTCTTTTCATCATTAGCCATTTGCTTTCCAACCTGTGTTTCCCTCGATGTATCAGAAATATTGCGAAAGGCCTGGTTTAAAAATAATAATAATTACTGACAGATTTGCCACGCGCTCCCGAATGTAGCCTATTCCTTGTTATTGGACTACAATCCAACAGCTAGGCTATTCTTATTTTTTTAAGCTATTGATCCTCTGTCGCTAAATTATAGGCCTTCTCGTGGTGGTAGTAGGTTATGTTGAATTATTTCATTATTTCTGAACAGAGCAGTACTTCTATAACTTTGGCAAATGGATTTACATGCATCAGCAGCGCTGCAGTTCCTTCAGAACCCTTCGCGCGGCTATGCTTCTATAAGGCAATAAATGAAGTGAAGTGCAACGCTGGAGAGATGAGTTGCAGGCTCATGTCTATCAGAGCAGAGAGGGAGCGAGATCATAGAAAGTTAATCTCATTCTAGTTATGTGAGAGATACTGGCGCGCTTCTCACACAGCCACGGCCACGCGTTGGTTTCAAACATAGGTTACAACGTTGCGCAAACCATAAACCTGGCCGCCCAACCCAAATCAACTCTTAGAATATTAGGCCTGGGCTGAAAATCTACTTTTTCACATTACGTTTTTTGTGGGGTCAGGGAATTAAGAAGAGGCAACTCAAATTAACTTTGATCGCTTTTATTCGATAAAAATAATTTTCATGCCAGGAGAGGTACCGGATCTGGACAAATAGGTTCCGGAACCAAAACAGCCTAAAACGGAGAGGTGCGCGGGGAAGTTTGGAGGAAGGCCTTTCCTGTTTCAGCATGACAATATCCCCGTGCACCAAAGCGAGGTCCATACAGAAATAGTTTGTCAAGATCGGTGTGGAAGAACCTGACTGGCCTGCACAGAGCCCTGACCTCAACCCCATCAAACACCTTGGGAGGAAATTGAACACAGACTGCGAGCCAAGAATAATCACCCAACATCAATGCCCGACCTCACTAATGCTCTTGTGGCTGAATGGAAGCAAGTCCCCGCAGCAATGTTCCAACATCTAGTGTATGAAAAATTTATGAAAAATGTATGCACTCACTAAACTGTAAGTCGCTCTGGATAAGAACGTATGCTAAAGGACTAAAATGTAAATGTAAAATTAGTGGAAAGCCTTCCCAGAAGAGGGGAGGCTGTTTTATAGCAGCAAAGGGGGGACCAACTACATATTAATGCCCATGATTTGTTGAATGAGATGTTCGATGAGCAGCTGTCCACATACTTTTGGTCATGTAGTCTCTTTCGTAACGTCTGAGATCCCCAGAGTTTGGGAAAGCTGCCGCGGTCATCCCCCTCTTCAAGGGGTGACACTCTAGATCCAAACTTTTAAACAGACCTATATCCATCCTGCCCTGCCTTTCGAAATTTTTTTTAAGCCAAGTTAACAAACAGAAACCGACCATTTAGAATCCCCGAAACCTTCTCCGCTATGCAATCGGTTTCCGAGCTGGTCATGGTGCACCTCAGCCACGCTAAAGGCCCCTAAACGATATTATAACTGCGATCGATAATAGACAGTACTGTGCAAGCCGTCTTCATCGACCTGGCCAAGGCTTCGACTCTGTCAACCACCGCATTCTTATTGGCAGACTAAATAGCCTTGGTTTCTCAAGGGACTGCCTCGCCTGGTTCACCAACTACTTCTCAGTTAAAGTGTCAAATCGGAGGGCCTGTTGTCTGGACCTATGGCAGTCTCTATGGGGTGGCCACAGGGTTCAATTCTTGGGAAAACTCTTTTTTTCCATGTATATCAATGTGTCGCTTTTGTGCTGGTGACCTAAAGATCCACCTCTATGCAGACGACACCATTTTGTATACATCTGGCCCTTCATTGGACACTGTGTTACAAAAACCCCCAACGAGCTTCAATGCCATAAAAACCTCCTTCCATAGCCTCCAACTGCTCTAAACACTAGGCCCAAAAAATAAATGCAGCTCTTCAATCGAACGCTGCTGGCACCCGCCCCCCCGACTAGAATCACTACTCTCGACCGGTCTGGACCCAGAGTATGTGGACAACTACAAATACCTAGGTGTCTGGTTAGACTGTAAAACCCCCTTCCAGACTCACAAATTTAAACATCTCCAATCCAAAGTTAAATCTAGAATTGGCTTCCCATTTTGCAACAAAGCCTCCTTCACTCATGCTGCCAAACATTTCCCTCGTTTAAAACTGACTATCCTACCCATCTTTGACTTCGGCGATGTCATTTACAAAATAGCCTCCAACACTCTACTCACAAATTGGATGTAGTCTTCACAGTGCCATCCGTTTTGTCACCAAAACCCCATATTTCTACCCACCACTGGACCTGTACACTCTTGTTGGCTGGTCCTCACTACAAATTCGTCGCCAAACCCATGGCTCCAGGCCATCTATAAAACACTGCTAGGCAAATCTCCGCCTTATCTTTGCTCATTGGTCACCCCAAACAACACCACCCTAGTATGCGCTCCAGCGGTTTTATCTCACTGGTCATCCCCAAACCAACACCTCCTTTGGCCCCCATTCCTTCCAGTTCTCTGCTGCCAATGACTGGAACGAAAATGCAAATCTCTGAAGCTGGAACACTTATCTCCTCACTACTTTAAACATCAGTTTCAGAGCACCCACCGATCACCCGCACCTGTACACAGCCCTTCTGAAATTAGCCCCCTCAACTACCCCCATCCCCCTATTGTTATTTATTTTGCTCATTGCACCCCAGTATCTCTATTTGCAAAATCTTCATTCCAGTGTTAATAACTAATTGTAATTATTTTGCACTATGGCCTATTTTTTGCCTTACCTCCAACTTGCTAAATTTTCTGTGGCTATTTTGACTTATGTTTT